CTTACTTCAAAGCCTGTTCTTTTCTCTTTCAAACAAACTATTATCCTTGTCTCCAATGCTAGTAATAATTGCACAGGAAAAGATTTAGTAAAACCTATCATTTTAGTTGCTGTTTAATTATGCAAGTTTACTATGTTATTGTTTAGTCGGTTTAAATGTTAGAATTTTCTTCTTTAAACTTTAATGTTGTCGTCACTACATCTGGAAAACCACGTAAGAACAAATTAAAAGTATTTTAAAAGAGACCAGGTTGTTTGAAAATCCTAAACGAATGCTAAAAATGTCAAAACATTCTGGTGTCTGAGCCAGAGTGTCATCGAACTGCGATGTAATGTAAACAGAAATTATAGCAAGTTGATGTCAGTCAACTTAGATGGTCCAAGCCAAAATTATATCGCATTTGAAGTTTCAAACTCTGTTGAAAATAGTGGAGGAGAAGCCGTAATTATACTTATTGTTACAATCCATTTAATAAAATTTTGTTGTTTTAATGAAAAAATCAGTTATTTTCATGAGAACGATTTGTTATTCCATCTCAATTTTTTTAATCTCCAATCGCAATAACGTAAAGTATTATTAGCCGCGAACCAATGAGTCAAATTTAAGAAACAACCCACTGTTAGAAAGCTGAATGGCTACGCTTTAAAATGAATGTAAACTTTAACGTTTTCGTCTATTATTTGTTTAGCAATTTACATTTCAGTCGAGGATTGCGTTTTCTTTTATACACCCTGTAGAGGTCCAGTATAATTAAGAGCACTTGAATTCTATATGATTTTTTAAAGTATATAATTATAGCATAGTATTAGTTGCATGCTATACATTATTTCGTGAAAAATGAATTGTGACCTTAGGAAGTTTCTATATCGTTTGTATGCATGTGAGTTGATTACCATCATATTTTATTTATATATAGGACTTTTTCTAGAAGCTATAGTTTTGATGTCAATATTATTACACACCTACTTTTTCATCATTTTTGTTATGATTACAACTCCTCCGCACATACTTTATATTAAAAATATTTTCTCGACACTTCCTACACATGAGATTGCGCGTTAACTGATTCGCCTACCTTTTCTCGTAAAATAATTATCTATATTAAAACTTCTCTACCAATCACAGACATTTTTACACCGGACATTTCCATAAAACATTCAGTCCCAATTGTTTTAACGCTTCAAAACATATTGTGATATTGAAAGTAAAGTATAAAAACAACTTCGGTATAATTGTAAAGTCCCGGTCAAACGTGCATGACTAAGTTGACCGCTTGCGTTTGATAAGAGTTGATGCATGAGAGTTGCAACTATATATCAATCGCATTTGACCGCCAACGTGACTCTCGTCGATTCTGATCAACTCTTATCACGTTTGAACTCATTCAAATTTTGATGAGAGTTAATTAATGACAGTGCTCGTTTGACCGGGTATTATCAGCCAACTCTCATCAACTCTTGCTTTCATGCACCGGTTGAGGGCATCTAATCCCCAAACAACTCTCGTCAAACCAGGTTCAGTTCGCTTATATATATATATATATATATATATATATATATATATATATATATATATATATATATATATATATATATATATATATATATATATATATATATATATATATATATATACACTATATACGAAGTGAAGGCCCTTCGCTCGAATATCCAATACAATATTATATTATATTTGTTCCAGGAATTAACCAAATATCACACAGCCAAAGAATCATGTTTCGGGTTAATGACACTTAATTGTACAAATTGTACTACACTACAGAAACAATGAACTATATACATTGAACGATTTTTTTAATCAATCCTAAATCAGTTCATATTTTCTCTCTGCATACAAATCTTCTTAATCCTTAGTTGGATATATAGCTTTCTGGTTTGTAATGCCCGTGTTTGGATTAGTCTAGCATGCATAACATTAATTGGTCTATAACATCATGCTATAATAATATAAATGCAATATGTTGCGTCTGTTTCAACATGTTAGGTAATAATAGATATTTGACCTTGTTCAAAATTTTCATCCATGAGCATCGTTCGATTTTGTTGGATCAACGAAAGGGCCATATTTATCTATTTAATATGCAAATGACATCATATATAAGCAGGGCATACAAAAATTCTAACATTTTTACAGCTAAAATTGCGACATCGCATGATCTCAAAACATTGCATGCAGATAAATTTATTATTAGAAAAATTCCAATTCTGTAATTGAAGTCTGCACGCACTATAGTTATCATCCGTGGGCTAAACGCTTGCTGCGTCAGACTATATGTTGTTTACTCAATTTTATATCGCTAGTTAATCAACAGAAATAAACCGTTCTATAATTATTTTACACTGATAAAAACGTTATCAATTGAGAAAATAAATTATTGATGTCACCTCTTCAATTATATATAAGTCACAGATAGTACACTGCCTCAAAACAGAAAAATTCCGAAAAAAGACTGACTACAAACTGATTCAGTATAATTAATAGAAATGTCGGCAAAATCTTTTATCATCTTTGGCCTTTTATTGGTGTCCAGTGACCTAGCTTGTGGTCAAGTGCGATGTTCCCCTACCCCTTGTATTCCAGGCAAGACATTCGTGGTAAGTGCTGCACACTAGCTTGCATGTAAAACTGATAGACACTGAATATCTGCACTGGCGAGGAAAACAGTTAGTTTAGTTTTCGATCCTATTTTCCAAGAGAACATGCATTAAATTAAGTGTTTTGTCATACAGGGTATCCAGAAAAAAAGTAGTATACCTTTTGAAATCAAGCCTAATTTGTTGGAATTTGAATGCCTTATAACTTTATATTATAGGACGATGCGCAGGCGAGCATTTTTCTATATGGAACCTTGCGCAATGTAAATTTGAGTAATAATAATAATAATGGAAACTTTATTTATTTATTATTAGGATATATACAACTACAATGATAAACCTCGCTTTACAGGTAGTTTATCAATGTCTACTTGAATTGATACTATATATTTATTGTACAATAATTATTTTAAGAAGGATTATATTAACATTAATTTTGGGTTATCCCACACCTTGTTTCGTTTACAAAATACAAAATATGATGTTCGTATGCATATGTTCACGATTTGCTTTTTTATGTATTTACTATACTTGGCATCACATTTAAGGCTACTTAGCATGCCATCGAAATTTTTACAAGATCGGCCAAAAACTCCGAGGGTACTCAAGGATAAATTGACGAACTTGACTTTATCATAATCTGCTTCAATAATAATAATAATAATAATAATGGAAACTTTATTACTTTCAATAATATATATATATATATATACACAACAATGATAAACCTCTCTTTACATGTAGTTTACCAGTGTCTACTTGAATTAACACGGCTACATATTCAATAACAATATTAGTATGACATTAGTTGTGGGTTATCCCATTCTTTGTTACACTTACAGAATATATAATACGATAATAATAATAATACTTGTCTATGCCGAACCCACGCGGGTGCGTAAACACAATCAGCCGTTCGTTTTTCAATACCACCCTGTATTTTACGCTTCCGTGGGTTGAGCATAATGCTCAGGGCATTCAAATTATTACAATAGGAAAATTTCAAACGATATATAATTATACTTTTCCTCGGGACACCTTGTATATACTGTATAGCGACGAAAAAACGAACAAGAACAACATTCATACAACAATTGTATTTTATGACAAAAACTCAATAGTGTAAACGAGTTAAAGAACCTATTAAACTAAGTTAAACGGTTTTAGCAACATATCCTGTTGCCTTTTGTGTATTTTTCTTCTCTTTTACATTCTTTATTTTAGTATTCGTACTTTTCAAATTACGAGTTGTGCGGCCATTTTGTTTATTTATGTACCGATGCACGTAACCGGCCGGCAGGATATACATTGCATTTATCTAAAGCCACGTGACCACAAATCGGCCAATTACGTTTGGTTTAGCTATATAACAATATGTACTTTATATGTACATTAGTACAGTCACAATAATAAATCAAACCTTAATTTATTTTTTAAACTATAATCCTAAGGGTTTGATGCCCTGTAGTGAATAGCAAATGAGTATATTTGTTATCTATAGTAATTAGTAAAAAAGTTTTATTTTTTCTGGGCCGGTTGTTGAAAGCTGGATTAGCGCTAACCCTCGATTAAAATTTAACCAGCTATAGCTGTTTTAGTTCATGTATTTCTGCACATCTTTTTGTTTTAAAACTTCAAGAAGAGAACTCCTACTGATCCAGACAATATTTCTCAAGAAATATTTCCAAATTTGTAAGCAAGCTGTTGAGATCTAGAAGTTTGCATTGAATTTGGGTCGGCTTTCGAGCAACCTCCCCTGGTCTTAATTTAATTGCCATCCGGAATGAAGTACGGACCAGTGTGTATATAAAAATACTAATAAATGCCTATTACTTCCTGAAACAGGGACAGAGAAGCTTTTTAGTTCATGAAATCAAATTTCAAATGGTGCATTTCTTCGGTGGTTTGTACAAAAGCTTATAAATTTTTGAATCTCGGAATAACGTCCGTCAGCAATAATTGTTTCAGTTAACTACATATTAAAAGCCCCTTAAAAATGTCATAATTGCAATGGACCATTTGCATTATAGACTAAATTTTGATCTAGACAAAAATTTCATCACAGCTTGAAAGAGCATCACAAAATTAGTAATATTCCAAAGTTTCGTTACGAAATGTTGTAAAATGCGGATAATATAGCCTTGCGAAGTTTGCCGTTTTTCAGTCATTTTGTATTACGCACGGGAAATTGACAGCCCAATCGGGTGTTGGGGCATCAATTTCCCGTTTGTAATACAAATGACTGAAAATTGCAAATTTCGCAAGGCTATATTATCCGCATTTTACAACATTTCACAACGAAACTTTGGAATATTACTAATTTTGTGATGCTCTTTCAAGCTGTGATGAAATTTTTGTCTAGATCAAAATTTAGTCTATAATGCAAATGGTCCAATGCCCTCTGTCAATCTTTAAACAGTTGTTTCAATGAAGTTGTGATCCATGGCTGTTCAGTCTTACAGTAAATACCCTTTTGAAGGAACTGGAGCGACCTGTCTTGATAATCATTTCTAAACCTTTACAGCATCTATATATGTATCATATTTGATATAGATGCTGTAGCTACAGCTTGTATATAAGTAGTATGTTCGCACGGCTAGACGATTGCTTGGGTTAGATTTCTTAAGATTTTACTTTGTATGTAATTTAGTAAATTAGTCTCTAGATATTGGATTTATTTTTGGACATATGCTCCTCATAAAATTCTTCAAGTTAGTAAATCAAGTGTGTTTCGCCCCCACGTTGGAAAATTAACTATTTGATTCAAGCGACAGCTTTTCTGTAGGCGCGGGGTGTTAAAATCTCTTGTAATTACAATTTGAAAAGTGAGATTCTATAAATGATAGACAAGTTTTTCTTTATTTTTAGGAAGTTATGAATTAATAGTCTAAAATTAGATTTAGTATTGTTTGACTTGAGTTTCTGAGAATGAATTTTCAGACACATACATGTAATAACCTCTGAAACAAAATGAATTTGACTCCAAAATGCCTCCAAAATTTAAAGTTGACTCCAAAATTTAAATTGTTTGTTTAGGTGATGCGAGATTGGTGGAAGATATCAAGTTATTTGACGTAGTAGACCTTTCGGGTGTCAATGAAACGACAGGTTATCATTCGAATTCCAAGGCATATGAATTCACGGCGACAGTGGGTCCTTTGATTGCGTTCGCAAATGTTTCTACTCAATTTGCCAAAGACGCATTTTTGATCAACAAATTCACAGTAAAGGCGTATCTTCTGCCAGCAGCTGGTTCGAAAGGTGGAACTATTGTATTCTTTTCTCGTGGGACGAAAAAGGGTGCTGCTTTCAACGTCGCATACGAGTAATTAATTCACTATTCAATGTTATATATTTTTAGTTTGTATCACTGTATGTGCGCACATCGACTTTGAAATTGGGATAAATTGCATTCGGGGCTTGTATCCATCTAGCACAACTATGAACCACAATACAACCTGGCAACCATACACCATGTTTACCACCCGACATATCTTGTCTTGTATGTACATATTCACCACTTGACAGATGTTGTATGTACAGTAGAACCATCTGACATGACCTTACATCACCTGACAATCGTGCACCATATTCACCACTTGACATATCTTCCATGTATAGTAGAACCATCTGACATGACCTTACATCACCTGACAATCGTGCACCATATTCACCACTTGACAGATCTTGTATGTACAGTAGAACCATCTGACATGACCTTACATCACTTGACAATCGTGCACCATATTCACCACTTGACAGATCTTGTATGTACAGTAGAACCATCTGACATGACCTTACATCACTTGACAATCGTGCACCATATTCACCACTTGACATGATCTTACATCACCTGACAATATTACACCAGTACATAAAACCATGTAAGGGAGCGTTCATTTTTTAGCTGCGAGGGTGGGCCGGAGGAATTTGGGGGTGGGTCAGCCAATTTTGACATGCTTCAAAGGGGTGGGGTTTTTTATAGTGTTGGTATAAATGGAGGGGGTCGTAAAAACAATCATTGAAAAAATCACCAATATAATTTTATAGAATTTGAAAATATATGGATCAAGAATGGTAAAAAGGTCTAGAATCTATCAACTATCTCGTCATCTTTAACAAAGAAGCAAAATTCATTTGACGCTCTGTTCACACAGTCCATAGGAAAACATTTCCATGACGTTCGTCACTTTGACCTCGTTTTTATCCATTTTTGTGTGAAAACATGAATGAAAACGCTACGGAAACGACACCGTGTGGATTAATAATAGTTGGGATGAGGTGAAAAAAATTTTCAGTAAAAAATAGGGGGTCATAATTTTTCATCAACTTTTCTCTCGGGGGTTCCAAGTTTTAGCATGGAATTAGACATCAGTTCCTCCGGCCCACCCCCCAGCTAAAAAATGAATGCTCCCTAAAGTAAAACCATTTGACGCGACTGTACACCACATAAAAACCACGTGACAAGCTTACACCATGTTCACCTTAAAGACCTTGTACGTGCAGCAGAACCATCAGACACAACTGTACCATGTGACAGTCCCACGCCAGTTGACATGCATTGCACCCGACAAAATTTAAGACGCTAAGTGCATACCATGCAGTGTAAATAGACAGAGGCGTAGCCATGAAGGGAAAAGGGGCGACCCCCTTCAATGAAGTCCGGGGTGTTTGTACAATTAAGTACTTTTAAACTACCCATTTTGTAGTTAATTAGTAATTAAGTACTTTTAAACTACCCATTTTGTAGTTAATTAGTAATTAAGTACTTTTAAACTACCCATTTTGTAGTTAATTAGTAATTAAGTACTTTTAAACTACCCATTTTGTAGTTAATTAGTAATTAAGTACTTTTAAACTACCCATTTTGTAGTTAATTAGTAATTAAGTACTTTTAAACTACCCATTTTGTAGTTAATTAGTAATTAAGTACTTTTAAACTACCCATTTTGTAGTTAATTAGTAATTAAGTACTTTTAAACTCCCCATTTTGTAGTTAATTAGTAATTAAGTACTTTTAAACTACCCATTTTGTAGTTAATTAGTAATTAAGTACTTTTAAACTACCCATTTTGTAGTTAATTAGTAATTAAGTACTTTTAAACTACCCATTTTGTAGTTAATTAGTAATTAAGTACTTTTAAACTACCCATTTTGTAGTTAATTAGTAATTAAGTACTTTTAAACTACCCATTTTGTAGTTAATTAGTAATTAAGTACTTTTAAACTACCCATTTTGTAGTTAATTAGTAATTAAGTGTTAGGTGATTTGTTTTAGAAATGTAAAAAGTGGGGTTTTAGATCTAATAGAGCGTATTTTGACTACCAAAACTACGTGGGTATAAAGCTTTCACGTGTACAGACATTGTATTTAACATTCAGTGTAAAATCGATAAAGAAAAATGCTATGTTTGATCTAAAATCTCGCTTAAAACGCTTGTTAAATAATATGGGCGGGACCTATAAACGCAGTCCTTGAAACTCAGGTCGGCATTCGGCAATGCCGACCTAAATGCCGACCTTCAAAGCGATATGTGTAGATTTAGGTCGGCAAAATTTTGCCGACCTACTTTCGAATACGTCTCGGCATTTTCTTCCGCGAACGCATCTTTCACATACGCATTTTCAACGATGATGTGTTAATTATTAGGTTTTGATCATTAGCTTGCCTAGTCAAATACGCTTTGCGAGTATCAAATTTACAAACATTGCAGTTTCATTGTTGAAAGGTGATACTTGAAACTTTGAAAAGTAAACATCGTGTTAAAATCATCGAGCTTCAAGATTTAAGCGAAACTATATCGTAATAAAGTAGTGTACGGTTTGTCACAACATTTGGTCACAACATGCACTGTTCGATTGGAGTTCATACATTTTGTTAGTTGTCCATACATTGTTCATACATTGATTGCAATTAATTGCTGCTTATTATAAATACGCGTATTTGCAGCAAGCGAATTTTCATTTGGATATTGTCTATTTGTTTTGAAAATATTTGCCGACCCGAAATTTCTGGAGTTTCAAGGACTGTAAACGTGTATAAAAATAACGACAAACGTGTACGTTTGAAACGTAAACAAACGTGGAAAAACATTTGCAGTTGACTACAGCAAGTGGTAGTAACATTAACTACCCTTTTATATTACCGGCCTGCATGGGTGAACGTTTTTGAAAAATTTGGGTCAGATTCTTGGAGCTCTATTGTGGTTAATGCAACAGAATATTGTATTTCAGGATGTGAGAATTCTT